TGGATTCGTCTAAATTTCATACTCCAATCACATTTCATTTCGCATCTCCTCCAAACAACAAATCGTTCCTTTGCAAAAACATACTCTTTGCTGAATAATATCCCACTTTCACGATAAAAATCCCACTTATAAAAATAATTTGATGATAGCGTTTCACAAAACCGACTTTCAAAATCGAACTATACTCAAAATATTCGACATTCAAAGCTTCATTTTAAACTTCATTCGGTACAAAGCAGGTCGCAGTTTACACTTTACTTTAATCAATAACAATTAACAAAACAAATTGCAATCTAAATTCTATGATTCCCTTCCATCCACAGCCTTGAATCAAATCAATTAAAGATAAAGTGAGCCACTCACCAAAATAGGTGCAGGTGTATCACTCGCAACACTCAGAAGCGTCATTACGGGATTCTGTTCGCTACGATGCGTCAAGAACGCAGTCTCAACTCTATCCAATTTTCGAGGATCATTTGCACAAACTCGACGTGCCAACACCAACGCATCTGCGTACAGACCATCCTTGAGTGCACTGTCGATTGCTTCCTGCACACAACTTATTCAGTCATAAAAATTATTATCATATTGAAAAAGAATAAATCTCCTCAAACCATTTCAGCGCAAACCCCTTAACCAACCTAATTCTATCAAATATTCCCTAGTAAAAGCCTTCACATACCCACAAAATTATTCAAAATCAAGTCCGCTCAACTCTAAACAACACTAAAACAACTCCAATTTTCTTCCCAAAAAATCTAACGATCAATCAAACAACTCATATATCCATCCAACAAAACCCAAAAGAATCAATCAAAACCTTACATCGATATGTCCACCCAATAAGAACTGTGTGAATCGTTCGAAAGCACGCGGGTCCACATTGCGTTCATCTGGCTGCGGTGATGCCGAACAAACCGACGGTGTATTACTGCTAGCCTTGTCTCTACCTGCCACAGCATGCGCTCGACGTCCAAACGAATGACACCCGGCCATCAGCAGACGTGACAGATCCGGTCCTGTTACACGCTGAAACAAACACTCATTCACTTGAATCTACTCTAGTAACTACAACTATGATCACTCCAATCCAATCAACTACTCAAAATCACCCTCTTCAATATCACCACTATTCAATCATTACCATTACCATTACAATCTTATTTCTAAAACCAATTTCAAAAAAATTATGAACACACATCGAAGAAAACCCAATTTCCCATAAACT